CATTTAGTTGAGAACTGCACCAACGCAAATAGGAGCACACACCACAAGGCATCATTGTCATGTGGGACTTATCAAACAAAGCCCCTGCTCCCCTTGCGTCTATGTACGCACGCGCGCCTTTTCGATGACAGATTCAACTGAAGCTGGCGCAAACGTTTTACGCTACGGCCATGCTAGGCACCGTAGTCAAGGATGTAAGTGTGTGCAGAAGCATTTGTTTTCGTCAGGTCTATCCTAGCGGTACCACGTGATTTCCCATGGGCCGTCCCACGCATCCCGTGAGCGTCATTTGAGACGTCCAACCAGAAGGACCAATTTGTGAGGGCTAGTCTATTTGGATCACCGTCACCCAGAATGGTAACGTGCCTTTGGCTGCCTCATCTCTTGAGGAAAGGTGCTTTCCGAAGGCGGAATGCTTGCATCTGTCTGTTACATTGTTTACAGTGTTCCAACGTGAATGACAGGGCCATTGCAATATTTGGACCCTTTGGTAGAAAATGAAGGTCGCGAGCGCTATGTCTCCTCTTTATTAGCATGCGCGGTCGTTTCTATCGGTGCCGGTCTAAGTAAGCCGGCTCGCCCGGTCGAACGCATTGCATTCATGGGTGTTGGTCTTGCCTCCGGGATAGGGAACATGTGACGTGTGTGTCGAACTTGACCTCATCTGCACAGACTTGGTGCGATGGCGATTCAGTCTCCCCGCTGACCTTACACATTAGCACACGGACACATGAAACTAATGCGTGAGCGAGGGATCACTGATCCCTTCTTGGACTGAGCGTTGTTTCGTGTTCAAGAAAAAGCATCACGTCTCGTACGGGTACTCTTCTTCTTCACAAGCGCTGACGGGCTCAAAATCGTACTTGTTGCGCCTCGTCGTCACATAGGTGCTAAAGGGCCTCGAGAGCTGCCTTCACCACTACAACATCTGCTTGCAGCTGTACAACCCTTCCCGGTACCCCCGGCGATGGGGCTTAGCCGCCCTTGAGATGGGGATGGCTTTGGGAGCCATGGCGGATCTCGTCGAGCGAGTGAGGGCGTACCCACGATTTGTTCGCCCGGCACAGTGGCCATATCTGTGCGCCATTCGTAGTGAGTTTTTGGCGGGACCTGAGAGCCCCCCTGCGATTATTGCTTTTACTTTTCGTTTGGGCATCACCAGATACGTTTCACAAACCATACGGGTTTTTAACGCGTCATTACTGGTTGATTTTGGCGCGAGATTTGCAGGAAATCCCGCGGGTGAAGCCAGATGCCGAAGCTGGAACGGATGCCGTGGCGGGTTTCTACAAGGAGGTCGCCGTAATGACCAACAAGGCAAGCGGTTCCGGTAGTTCCGCGGTGTAATGGAGTGGCGTCAATACAGCGGGGCTGACAGTACTTGCAATCCACACGAAGGTCGGGCCGTGTAACGTTTTGAGGCCAAACACAACGGTTGACCGCAACATACCCACAAGCCTACTGGAACGTTTGCCCACAGTTACTGCATGTGAAGGCGACCCTGTTGTAGGGCAACATCCATAGTCTTGAAAATGTACACGTCACATCTCAAAACTGCTGAATGCTGCTGGATGAGAGCACCTCTGGTTTCCTCGGTTAGACATCGAGGAGCATGGGGCCCATCTGTTGAAAGTGTGGACTTGGAAAATGGTGGGGGGAGGTCATGTCGAAAGCCTTTCCTGGATGTTTTCATACGAAACACCTACATCGGTGCCTACGTAGAGTAACTCTCTGAGGTGTTTAGAATATGCCTGGTACAAACCTTCCGAACACAGGTCGTGTTACTGGCACAACAGCAACAGGCTGTTCCATTTGTAAGGTATGCGAACCATACAATCGTTGCAGGAAACCGTGGCATGAGTTCAAGGCCTTGCTACCCCGCTCATCGTTAAATCTCAACCCTGGGCGGATGCAGGCGTCAGACTACCGTCAGAGGAGCCTTGACAACATCGAGTCAGCAAGCGAAGTCCTGCAGGGGGACAGAAACATCGAAGAACGGGCCAAGGCACAGGCACGATAACCCTCTTGCCTGCAGTATATTCATTCAAAGGTCAAGGTTACGGGACCAGGACTAGAGGTGGGGCTAGGGTCTCATAGAATATCGCGCGCGCTTAGATGTTGACCCGAGTGCTAAAGAGTGAGAAACACTAGCACAATGTTACGGCAGGGGTGAAGGTTTGGATAGCGTTGGCATTTCCAATATGAGCTGGCGAAAATCAGCAACCTGGGTGGATAGCGTGGGCCTCGGTTTTGAGGAGAGAGAGTGTGCGCTACTCACGCTCGTGAAACGGTACCACGAAGGGACAGCTGCGCATCTCTTCGGGCACTACATCATGCTGACGGGGAATAGATTCACAACCAAAAAGGTTCCCAAAACGTAATTATTTCCACACACACAAATGTGTTCTACCCGTCTCCCACATGGTATCACAATTACTGCAGACTTTTCTGTCCACGCTTGTCAACGAAACAGGTGGAGTACGCGCGAGGCATCTTGCGACGATTATCTGGAGACCTGGGAGAGAATCGTGAGCTCGCCGTGTTCAGTCTAGAAAAGGCCATCCAAGACTACGAGGTCAGGCCGCCAGTCGGAAAAACCAAACCAATCGTGCCAAAAAATGACATTTTCTTTCAGCCCAGCCGGTCTATGTGCCCCCGTCCGTACTGGCTTCGCGAGATAAAATAGGCATCGATCTTCCACGCTGCGCCCCGAACTTCTTCTGGACTCCGTTGACACTGCCCGCTTCCAGCTTGGAAAGAACCGTACCTCCACGACAATGTCACTTTGAAAAATGGTTTGTCTCAATTTGAGCGGCAATGGCCTCTGCCGTGTGTGTTCTACACCTCTTGTGGTTTCTAAGTGGGGTTCGACATCCAAGCGACTTCATTCACCGTTCACCTACGCAAGGAAATTCTCGCACGTACTTGATTTCTTCCCGTTGAAACCAGATTCTCGTGGCTTCTATGTCGACGCAGCTCCTCGCTGCTGCTGAAATAGATGCGACGCGCAAAGGCAGATACGGACGGGGCAAAACAGCATCGACTCCAAGTGTGTTGTTGTAAATCTACCTTGATAAACTTGAAATTTCACTGCCGGGGACCAAAATTGCAAGGGTGCAAACGTCGCTGTGAGCGCCCCGTCATGAAAACGGGCTCGATCGAAAGAATATTTCGCCCGCAAGATACCGCACGCCAACACTCTTGGAAATACACAAAGTACCGCAAGCTAGCCGTGTCCATGCTATCTGCCAGTCCCGCCCCCCAAGATGAGCCGGAACAAAACATGGCATTACTCCCTTTGCTCGCAAGCTCTGTTGTAGGTGATGGTGTTGTCTTCGCATTCAAAAAACGTTCCGTCCTTCCCTCAGTACGTTCTAAATATCCGTACCGGTCCAACTGACGCGGACGCATTCCGTGGTGACAAAGTCACAAGTTCTCCGAAGCTCCATGCAACAGCGATGATCGTTTTGAAATGCAGGTCTTCGTCAACGACGAGAGTATCAAGAACGAGAGCCCCGGCAGCCCTATCGACCGAGGCCCCGCGCACGCCTACCAGCTTCCCGTCCGCGTGGCAAGCCGGAACTCACCCAATAACAACGACATCGAGGCAGAGGAACGCCTCCCCATGCGCCTTCAAGGGGTTAAGGCGGCGTACGGGCGGGCGCTGGGCACAGCCGGAAAGCTCTGTCTGGACAAGCACGCTGCGACGGTCGGCGGTAATCCGGAATCGGCCGCTCAGGCTTGGGAACACCTCGCAAAGGCTGCAGAGGTAGTGAAACGGTACCGGACGTGGAGCAAATCTCCCACCCCCGGGCCTGCAAAGAAAGTATGGTCCTGTCGCCCAGGGATTTCTTTCACAGGAGGTAGTGGGGGTCCAGGATTTGCTCCTATATTATCGCGAGGGTTGATTTCACAGGTGGTAATGCTATTTGATCACGCATCGCGAACGTCGGATACAAGCCACACGTTGGCCTCGCCAAGACGTGCAGATGTTTGAGTGAGCAAGCCTCCCCGGGATACCGCCGATTTCCCGAGAAATCGTTGTCCGTCTTGCGGTCATATTGCGTACCAATAGACTTTCGGCTTCCAAGGTCATCTGTAACAACATATTCGCCTGATTGAGAGCGTAGCATCTGATTGAGAGCGAGATTGCGCGATACGCTGTAGCCGGACTACCACTGAGAGGTGGAGCTTGCTGTGTAGCTTGAATTGAAGGGCTAGCCCGTAGCTTCAAGCCGCTACCCTGGTCATCCTGTGGGAGTCTCTCGTTGTGGAGCTACAGCGGGGAGCAGAAGCTACAGCAGAGCCCACCGCCCGACGCGATACCGCCCTGAAACAGTTTGAGCAGAAATAGCCAATCTGGGCAAATCTAGCAACTTGTCTAGCTCCTCGCTGCAGCATCCGATGACGATGACACGCATATGCTCGCGAAGCTGCTGATGAGACCTTCAATTTGCACCGCTTCTTGGAATAGCCCGTCCCCTACTTGCCAAGAAATGGCAAGAGGCATCTGGACCCGAAATTTCAATTTTTTTGGCTCTCGCTCTCAATCAGATACTTCGCTCTCAATCAGGCGAATATGTTGTTCTGTGTGAATAGCAGTACAACAGTAGGTTTTCGCTGCCGCCTGTGCTGCCTCCAGGTTTCTTTGCAACTACGTTTTCTTCCAGTCGCATATCCCACCTACCCACAACCCGGCGATAAAAAGCAGAAGGTTTACCCCACGGTGAGTTTGGACATTTTTCAATGTTGTTGTCCTCATGTATGCACGGTCATGAGGTCGTCATTTGCACCATCGTTCTTGGAATTACATGTTTCCTGAAGGTGATTCCCGATGACACCCGAGATCGGGCCGAAGCCTTGCTCCTGCTGGCTAGGGCAACCATCGAAAAAGGCCGAGCCGCTGCCGCCAATGTTCCAGGTCGGCGACGGCTGCAGTCACCGAGCGAAGCCCTGGAAACGGGCATCGGGCACCTTAGGGCCGCCTTAGAGGTGACCGCATGGTCAATGCTGTGATTGTCTACGCTACGTCGGTAGACTGGCTCACCAAGTACGTCTATCCCATCCTCGTGTTGACCAAAACCCGTAGGTCGGGCGGCGGTGTTGGAAATCGGCATGGGAGATTGTTCGCGTGGATATCCCAGACGACTCGCGCAAGTCTTCCATGGCTTGTACTTTTGCCGCAAGTTCCTTTTTTGGCCACGAAGCCGCTTCCATTCCCCATGATCAATCGGAACCTCTCCCTAACTTCGCTCTGATGCCGCGGAACCCTTCCCCCGCAGACGTGTCCCCAAAAGCAACTGGGGCTTCGGCAAGAACTCCACTGGAACCTTGGACGCCTCGCATTAGCCCGCCTGCAAGGCAGGCTCCGCGCTGCCGCGGCGGCCGCCGCCACCACCGCCTCCCCTTTCGGTATTACCAACGGAGCTTCGGCCGCGCCTTCGGGAGGACGCACGCCGCTTATACGTCTAGCAAGGGAGGCCGGGGGGCATCTGTTGGAGGCGATCTCGCTGGCGCAGGCGGCGGTAGAGGTAGCGGCGACGGTCGCCGCCGCGGAGGCTAGAACGAATCGGGCCGCGAATGGCGCGGGGGCTGGATCGGCGGCGGTGGGGGATGACGGAATGCGCGCAAGAGAGGGCTGGGCGAGGGCGGAGCTGTCAAAGCTGTGCTTAACGGGGGTGGCACCGGACTACGTGAGATGCTGTGAATTGGTCTCGTAGGAGGCGGAATGACGGTTTGCGTGGGGATGCGCGAAAAGTTTTGTGGTCGGTCGGCTTATCGTCGATGGGTTGACGTAAGGTTTCATATCCCTCTCACAAAATGCACGGTGAGTGTTTTCATGTGCTTTGGTTCGGGATGTCGAACTAGCGAACCTGACAAAGGAAATCAGTTTTCAAATTTAATTGTTGCCGGACCCCAGATAACTGCCGTGGGAGTATTCGCCGATGATTCGCCGCGGTGAGGATCATCGGAAAGCTTGCTAAAAAATCTTATCTTGACTGGCCACGTTATTCATCAAATGAGGGTGTCGGTAGGCTGGCATTGACCCCAACTCGACTCGAAGGAATGAATCACGGGGTCACATGAAGACGTATGCCTCCATGCGTCCAGGCACATTATACAATTATTCAGGTAGGAGTCGACGTGCAAAATATGGAAAGCTTCAGCCCCACTCAACCCAATTCTACGTTTACTCGCTGCCATCCCCTTCTCGCCCCTACGTGAAGTACCCCGCGGCCGCGATTGAGCACCTCCGCGTGGCGCGCGAGATACACCCGCTGGACCAGGCCCCGGTGGAATACGTCACTTCGACTTGCCTCCTGGCGAAGGCTTTTCATTTGACGGGGGAGCCCGAGAGGAGTATCCAGGCCTACAGGTGAGAACGAGTTGCATTACTTACACTACATAAATCTCTATTGGGCCAGGAATATGAAGCAGTTTGGAGCTTTTGGTCCTCGCTGGCGTTGTTTATGACGGTTGAAACTGACCACCTCTTGTACCCACGTAGCAGCCGGTCGTGTTGGTTTGTTTTTGGCGGCATGTTGGCTTTGACTTCGGAATCGAGACAATCTCGTCTGGAAGAGAAAAAGAACGAACCAAATCATCAGCGATCACGACGTCTCTTCAAATGTCGCAGCCATTTCCCCGGTTGCGTCTATCATCCTCTCAGAGAAGCTGCGCGGGCGGCTCCGCTGCTTGGAAACCAACTTCATTACGCTGACATGGACCTAAACCCTGGGTTCATCGTTCCGGGGAAGGTCGTGAGTCATATTTCCCTTCCGGACGATACGTGTGTGTTTCGGGACGAAGAAGTCGCTTGTTTAAGTTCATGTAACAGTGGATGGTGGATGTGGAGGTGAAAGGCAGCGGTCCAAATGGTTTTGCTACTGCTGTTTTCACTCCATATGCCACTGGTGCTGGTTTCGTTCCCTTCCCTCGCTGTGTCGTCGGAATTTTTGTCGCTTTTGCGCATGATTGGTTGGAATGTGTTTTTCGTTGCTGTCGTAGACTAGATAAATGTATATCATCTCCCCCGCATGCCCCTACTCCCGCCGCTATTTCGCCCCTGAACTCCTGACCCAAACTGCAGCTTGAACTCCACCTTCAGTGGACCTGTTCGAAAGTATCCCATTCCGAGTCGGAAATATTGCCATGTCTTTGAGCAGTAGATTTCCCATTGTTTGAGAACTTCCACAAGCTATGTTGACACCGCGGAATCCGATGGAATCCTGCTGACTGATCGCCTTCGGACCTCGAACCTTTCCCATTACGCAGAACACCTTCCCTCTCGCTTCTCCTCGAAGACAACCGTACAAAACGAACGACGGCGGCGGGTCGACCACGTTCACACCGTCTCTGAGCGTGGCCTTGAGAGGCCTGTTCGGCAGCGGCACGGCCCGCTGCCTGGACCGTTGTCGGGAAGAGATGGTGGCCGCCTCGAAGGCGATGCGGGACGGCGGTGGGATGGCCTCGGAGCCGAGCTTGCGCACGTTCGGCAAGGCTGGAACGGGCAGCGTAGCGTCGGGGTTGGGAGCGGCAGCTCGCCCCTCCACGAAGCACAAGGTAAGCTGCTGGTAGATGTTGATCCGAATACCGCGTTGTTCGGGACGAGCATGCTCACAAGCACCTTGCGATTACCAAAATGATCGAAGCATGTTTCACCATCCCTCGGAGTGCACACTTGTCCTTCGCAAGTCCTTCGAAATTCAAATTTTCCGTCGAGATATATTCTACCTCTACCGAAGGGCTTCTCGATGTGTGAACATAGATATGCTCCCGTAGCTGCCAATTCTCACCCCAAACCGCCGATCCATGCTGACCCCATCGTAGCGCGTGGTGGAGTGGACGTGGGTCCCGGACCAAGACGGAACGCCGGACAACCCGATCGTAAAACCCTCGCCCGCAGAGGCCGGAAGCGCGACGACGACCTCTGCCACCGACGGCAGAGACAACGCCACGGTCCCCGAAAACGTGAACGAGGCGTACCGAGCGGAAAGCTTGGCCCGTTGGAAGCCCGCGCAACTGAAGGAGCTCCTAACCGATCTACGCTTGGACGCGTCCGGCAGCGTGGAAAAGCGTGACATAGTCGACAAGATCATGCGGCATCCCGGCGGCCCGGCGGCGGCGGCTGCCGCGGCAATCGCCCGCGGCGAAACGCTGGCCGGTGCGGCTCCTAGTGTTCGGTCAACGGGGGAAGAGGGTGGAAGTGAAGCTGGTGGCCTTGAATCTGGTGGTGTTGGGGACGGCGATGTGGCTACGGGCAAGACCGCGGTTGTTGGTACCACTGCCGACGGCGAGGAGCAGGACGGCTTCGTCGGCATGACTCTCGCGGACTACATGGGCAGGCCTACGGAAGAAAAAAGTAACGACCGCTACCACGACAATGGAGGAGGAAATGGAGCCGGCAGACCCAGTGGTCCGCGAGGGCGGCCTACCGGTGGCGGTGACGGCGCCGCTCGAGGGGGCAATCGAATTGATCCGCACGCGGCTGCTCCTTCGGTATCCGGGTCTACGGGAAGCGGGGGCCGAGGGGATGTCTCGTCGGCGGCGTCAGGGAGGGGGGGCAGGGTGGTACGGTTGGCGCCGGCTCACATCGCGCCGCCGTCTAGGCCGGCACCCGAGTGGGTCGTGGACATGCAGGTGCGCGTGCGGCATCCTTTAATGTTTTCGCAGATTATCATTTATCGAGCGCGACAGCTCGTACAAACCACGACTTTGTTGCAATACCATGGAAGAGGAGCGGCATAATCTTAAAATGGCGGCTATATGGCAGGTTAGGTGTAATTCGCCGTGCAGAGGGAGCTCAGATGCGCCGTCAGGTTGGTATGGAACACTGCAATACTGAGTCATTTTCGACGTACTGGCGGTTGCCCCTTCCTATTTCAAATACACACTCGAAAGTAGACTCATTCAAATGTTCTTCCAAGAACCGTGAAACCTCTTCTTCGTGTAGATGCCGTCTCGTTTGGGAACACCGTTCCACTGCTTGTGGGGTTGGTTGGATGGTGATATGCATGCCGAAGGTTGCATAAGATATCATACTCCCTGGATCGTTTTTTGAAGCTCGATATCTCGACAGAGAAAGTAGTGGCGGTGCCGAAAAGGGCGGTTTTGGAACCGTCTCGTCGAGAGCTTTCTGAAAGCGTATCATTTGATTTTGGAATGTTCTTCGTCGTGGAGTAATTGAGCTTTGAAAATCGGTCCAGGGTTTGTGGTATCCAATGCAACCGACGGTAGTTCCAAACCGCAAGCACTCGCGTTCTTATTTGAGCAACCAGAGTCCGCCAAGACCTGACTGCATTTTTCTCACGCAATAGCATAATTTTCACCGTGAAGCTTCGGTGCCCTATGCCATTCTGCGCAAGAAACACAACAAGTGTGCCTGGCGATGTGGTGGGAAATGCGCCCGTACACGTCGGTGGGACCGCTTGGCAACTTTGTAGTGAGAAGCCGCTATTACAAACATTTTTGGCCTCAGACCAAGGCTTCTTGTTCTCGCTACCCCCAAGTTTTCCCAATTCCGAACCACCGTCTCGACAACAAGAACAAGCCTCGGACGCCAACTTACTTGCTTAGCCAGCTCCCCCCAACATTTCCTTCCCCGATTTTGTCTTTTTTTCCATATATCTACGGGGGTCAATGCAGAGGGACAAAGTTTCAGCACTGCAGCGCAAGGTGGTTATCAATCGTCCCTTTCCGTTCTCGGGGGTCACTAGCCCCGCCGCCGCCGCCGCCGCCGCCGCCGCACGATCGGAGAATAAGAAACGTCGAAACCGCCGCCGCCGCAGTAGCGACGGCAGCGGTGGCGGCCGTTCCGACGACGAGGACGACGACGGAATTGTTCGAGCCCAATCACACGCGCTTCAGGCGTTCAGGTTCCTCTGTCGATCCGGCCAGCTTTTTCTGGCGGAGCAGCTGGCGATTTCGGGAGTCTGGGATGCCGGGACAACTGGTGAGGAGGCAGAACCGCTCGCGTTGAATCGATTCAAAGAGGAATATATGGTAGAGAAATTCTACCTCGTTCATTATACACTGAATAGTCTGTCACGATTGTTTTTACGCTACTCTCACCGTCCGAAGGGGCGTCTTAGGACCCACCCTCGGGCACACAAAGAATGAGAGTGGTACGTGACAACGTATGTACGGGAGAGGGTCGGCACGTGCTTCTTGCCGAGCGTTTCACTTGTCGAAACTGCTTGATTTTGGGAACGCATGTGGTCGTTTTGAGTGTGAAGATTGGTTTTCATGGAGCTTCACCTCTCGTATGCGGACTGCGCTTGCGCTCAGTAGCAGCGCACTCGTCACAACTGTATCGACATCTTGTGCCAGGACCCACCAACGAAAACGGTCTAATCACCACCAGTCCGCGGGGCCTGACCAGCACAAGCGCCAACCGTGGAGGTGGAGCAAGGAGCGAAGGCCTCCGAACCGCTTGGATGGCAACGAGACTCAAGCCTGCAGCAAGGACGGCGTTGGCGGAGAGGCGGGAGAGGGTTAGGCAGGCCCTGGAAGACGCCCGACGGTTCGCCGGGGCACGAGGGGCGATATTTCTCCTGCCGCGGGTTGGCGTCGAGACCGCCGAAGCGGCGTCGACGGAGTGGGACCTCCGAGCGGTGCCGTCGCAACGCGAGGTCATCAAACGTAGGTATCGAGGGTTACAATCGTTGGTGTTGTCAGTGTTGTTGTTGGTGGTGGTGTTGGTGGTGTCGGTGTCATCGTCGTCGTTGTTGTTGTCAATGGGTTCGAAGCAGTATCGAGGACAGGCCAGGAGTTGGCTCTCCGGCAACCTGCGGAAAGAAGAGGAAACGCTCTTTGCTCGTCGTGAGTCACAGGATAGGGAGGGTCTGTTGAGGGTGTTCACAGATACTTCCAGCTGGCGGTGGCTTATAGGAAAGTACCAGCTGTATTTGGATCACGCCACCGCAGCAACCGAAACCCTCATCGACACATTAGGGGGGCTTGGAACTCACCAACGTTGCTTGGCCTTCGCCAAATACATGCTGTGCGTGCCCTCACAGAGATCCGCCAACAACAGAATTCGGTAATTCCTCCATGCCGAAAGGTTGATGGTGCCAAACTTCAGCCAGCGGCAAGACTTCACTCCTCTCCCTACCCTTCCACCCCCACAAAAAAAATACGCAGAACTGCGGAGCTTTGAAAAGTGGTTGGTTCGCAGCGGGGTTTGGTCCGCCCAGCCGTTGCTGGCGTTGCTGACGACTTGCGGCACGGCCGCCCCGCGAGGACTGAAGGCGGGGACGGGGGCGGACGGTTCAGGCGCCTCCACCGCCAAACCCTCCTCAGACAGGGAGTTTGTCGCCCCGTCGGAGTACCCCACTGAGGAGACTCTTGCCGAGATGGTCGACCCTTACGAGGCCCTCGTCTGCTGGTTCTATCTGCCGGACGGCGGCAGCAGCGACGTCGGTGGAGGTGCGACCGATGGTGCTGGCGGCGGTAATGGCGATGGCGGTGGAGGTGGCCATAGCGGATTCGGCCAGGAGGTCGCATGCTTCGTGGCATACCACGACGAAGGAAAACGACGGCCAAGCGACGACCACGGCGCAAAGAACGGCCTGGGAGGAAAGAGCACGAAAGCAGTGACCGATCTCGAAGCCAAGCGAGCAGCGATCGCGGCGAGAGCACGTGGTCGGCGACAGCAAGGCGAGGATGCCGAAGGCGGGTCTCAGTATTCGGACTCGTCGATATCGACCGGTAGCGGCAGCGACGGCGGAACCAGCGGCGGAGGTGGAAGCGACGATGAACTAGACGCCGAGGACTTTGAGCCGGGGGCGCTGCGCGTGCGAGTGATCTTGGCGAGCCCCGGCACGACCCTGCAGCTTCGGAAGGCGACCGATGCGTTCTTGAAGACCCTCCGGAACCGCAACCCTGTGAGCATGTTCGACATTGTTGGTTTCGTCGACCTTGATGCACGACGGAAAAAAAAACCTTGATCGAAATGACTGTTCTTTCAGCACCCATGCAATGACAAGCCCCAATCAAACGTTTTTCGCCCCCTATGGGTTCCCCACGCACCACCCAACCACAATCGCACGCTCGACAATCGCAGGTGAAGCGCAACGTCCTTTCCGCGTTCGCGTTGCAAGACCTGAGCATCGCGCTGGGTGTTCCGAAGATTTTCAAGGCATTACCCCCGCACATTCAGGTGCCATTCGTTTTATTGAAATTGTTGTTTTTGGGTGCTGTTGGCGAGATGTTTTCCTTTGCCAGAAAGTCCCTATTCCAAGCTCCGCCACGGCGCGGTCCTAACCTCCGTCCCGTACTCCCATTCCACCCCTTGAAGGAAGTAACCATAGTCCAGCATGGGCTACTAGGAGTTGTTCCGGTGCATGCCCTTCCTCTCGAAGAGACTTGCACGAACGAGCCAGGGCGGCCACGTTCTGCGGCCATGGGGCGACCTTCGACTGCGGGCAGCGCAGGAGGAGGGAGGGGGGGGGGTGCTGGTTTGGCGGCACCTATGGCAGTGCTGGACAGGTACGTATAAGATTTTCTCGGTGTGTTTGTGGGTGATGTCGGCGGTGGTGATTGGCTGTCAGCGCGATGACAACGATAGTTCACCCTTCTCCGGTGTAGGGTTCAACCATATCTTGCTGGGCCACATACAGAGGAAGCCGGAGCTTAAAGGGTAAGGTTCGGCTCTTCGACCCTTTATTCTGCATTGTGAATATCAGACTCCGTATGAAGGATAGAGGTGATACTCCCTCTCCGGCCGCCTGCGGGAGTATAACGAGGTTTAGATGATTGGGGTACTTGGACACAAGATCCGATCTGCATAGTATGTGTGTGGGGGGGTATACTGTTGGGTGTCCAAGTGCGGGGCCCCTCGCCTGCGGGCGTATAACGAGGTTTAGATGTTTGGGGTACTTGGATACAATATCCGATCTGCAGAGTATGTGTGGGGGGGGGTATACTGTTGGGAGTCCAAGTGCGGGGCCCCTCATGAGAGCCCGCGCATGTGTTCACTGAAACAGGACCCGTACTGACTTCGGTCCGTGCTGGAAGATCACGTGCGTATGTTCTTCAAGGTTACCATCTGCATCGGTCCCTGGGTTAAATAGTCCACAGACATAACTACCGTGGGTGGGCACGGTATCCTTCGTGGGTGGGCACAGCAAACCTCCGTGGGTGGTCACTGGGGGCATACTAACATTAGACGGACAGTGATAGCAGCACAATGAAATGATCAAAGGCAGCCCTTTCAAATTCTCCTTGATGAAAATCAATACTACAATACGGCCAGCTAATCTGTAAGCCTCAGATGAGTTGCTAACCACGCCTGGCAACCGTTTCGTGTGATGTCGAACTTCGAAGGGTCTGTGAAAAACCGTTTTTTGGGAAAAATGCTTGGTCGATGCACTTCATGAGATTGTCATGTTGCCGTCTTCCACAAACCGGAAGACTTCTTGCAAATGACACGGACACACCAGATAGGTGCACGTTTTCCACATGAACTTACGGCAACTTTTTTCACTTTATCACAAAACAGGTACATTGTCCGGTACACGAGCAACCTTTACGCGCTCGAGATAGCGGAGAGAGCGGCGGCGGCCGCCACAAGGGAAATACCATGGTATTTCAACACGTGCTGCGTTGTGAGTGACCAACTCTCTCAATACTCTATAAGCACTTCGAAGTAGGGTCCAGTTCTTGACAGACATCCACCACCGTACTCTAGCAACTTCTTGTACGTGTCATACAATACGGGCTTAGTCCTCTTGTGGTATGAATGCAAGCGCAGCACGTGTGTGTTTCGTAACCGCACGAACGACTTTGCTCCGCGACGAAGCGAAACCAACACCTCGCTTATTACCCAAACAACTAGTTGTAAGGACGCCTGTCGAGAGATGTTGCTCGCTGGACCCGTTTGTATTGTTGTCGTCGCTATTGCTTGCTGCTTCTGCCGTCGCGATTGGATGTCTTCTTTCTTCAAAATCAATGCCATGGCATGAAATCTCCGTCGGTGCTTCATATCATGGGTAAAATGATGGCTTTGGCCTACCTTGTCTTTGTTGGAGAACGAGCACTTATCTACTGCCCACCCAAAGGCAAACCCCTCGGCGTCCGAGGCCTTGACCTTTCCCGGGCGGCACGGAGTTCACCGCGTCTCTGGTGGTCTTACTCTTCGCCTCCTACCCGGCTGATAACAACTTTACCAGGTTGAAGATCCCCTCCGCTACGTGAACTCGGAAGACGGCTCGAGAGACCCGAAGACGCGACGCGGCTCTTCGACGGGTGTCGACGGCGGCGGTGATGATAACCCCACGCGGGGGCAGTCCATGGGGTTGCGGCACAGCCGTCACGAATGCAGGGTGGTGGGGGCGACGTGGAGCTCCGACCCGGACGATTGCCATTTCTGCAAGGAAGAGGTGCGGACGGGACCGGTTGATGACAAGATTCGTGCTGAACGTTGAGCCGACAGCGTGCAGAAGTGCGTTTATTGTGTGTTTTAGCAATTTTGTGCTTCAGGTTTCGCGTTTGAGCTCATAGACTCGGGGACACGGCGCTCTATGAATGAAATGCAGAAGCACCACCACGAACAATGAGACAAGTACAGTGCAGGCCCGCCCGCTCGTAAAGCACCTATTTTGAGCGAGGCTCAAACCATCTTTTCCCCCCAAAACTGAGCAAAGGCGAATGTGTGGGAACTAAAATAGCGCCGGTCGCTATACTCAATCTCGTAGGGCATATTGCTCAAGTGTGTCCCAAATCTGAGCCTCGGTTTCTTTACTATATTTCTCACGAGGGGGTCGGCATTGTATCAACAGCAGCAGTGAAAACAACAACAGCATCAACAGAAGAAGCAATAGCAAACCGCAACGATCAACAACAACGACAGCCACAACAATAGCAACCACAAACCCTTTCTTGTTCTTCAAATACGAGCAGTCAGCCACGCGTCAGACGCTGACTTCAATCGTCTCGAACGGGGGCGTCATAGCTGGAGGACAGCACGGCCGCGGCGGCGGGCGGGGGGCGGGTAGAGGAAGGGGAACCACTGCCGGGGGGGCAATGTCGACCGCCACCGCTGAGACGATGGGGGGGGCTCTCGGTAAGGCAGCGGCGGCGGCAACGCCCGTGGAGATAGCGGCTGCGGCCGCGGCAAACACTGCGAGACTTTTTGCGTCGAAGCTCAATCAGGTACGACGCCCAGTGCAATTCTTGGGCTGGGGCAACGACTCTAACCGAAGGATTGTGAACATATTTGCGGCGAAATCTCCCAAAAGGAAGAAGGCACCATGCGTGCGTCTGACAAACCTCAAGGCATGATCAGTCGAATACTGCCGCTTCATTATGTCAACGCTGGTTTCCTGACTTGCCGCTTGCCATCCATTTTATGGCGTGTGTCGAGCACCTCACTGACTACGGCGCAGGCCCGGTGTCTCCACCTCTGCTGTCGAGCCGTCCACTACCCGCGACCAGGGCTTGTCCTTTGCCGGACCACTTTCCGAGAGTCGAAGCACAACGTCGGGAAAGGTTCAAACCGCGGCGGAAAAGGCGGAAAGGGTGTCTCCAAGCGTTTAGAGGCAGAGCATGTACGTTCAAGGGAATAGGAGGAGCGTATGTCTAAAAGGGGTCCTGCCGTAGCCTCACGCTTATTTGGCGACATGACCAGGGAAGATGACACGAGGGTTTCGCAAGTCACGCTCCTGAGTTGGGTGGGGTCGAGATACTGACTACCAGTTCGAAGCGGGACTCTGCTCATTGCTCTTTTTCCTTGACCCGCCTGCATGGGGTGATCACCATCAGTGAAGTGACCAGCCGGTTGACAAGGTGTAGAAAAGATGACCACGAGGTAGAACAAGATACACCGCACGGCCAGAATGACTGGTCACAGGAGCATAAGTTGACAATATTCTTCAACACGTCACTCTATTCGAGGCCCGAACGCACCACGATAAAACAAAAAGATAGCCACCAGACATCAGGGGAACAGACCGCTGATGTGCACCTGCCGTTTTTTCCGTGGACGTTGGCATTCGACGCATGCCTGAAGGCACCCTCCAACATTTTTGGTGTACTCTCTCTGAGGTCCAGAGATGCTGTGTCTGCCCGCCCCCAATCCACCTTAGCGTTCCCAACAACTCCCAGTTCATTCTCCTAAGCTGCTTACGTTTACCTCATGCTCAGGTCGACGCCGCCTCGTTCCTCAAGCAGCTCCACCTGCGTAGCTGCGGGCTCGTGGTGCTGTCAAGGGGGGGTTTCGTCGACGACATGCAAACCGCGGAGGACGCGGAGACCATGATATCGGCCGGGCAAGAAGTCACGAAGAGAAAGGAAGGCGAGGATGGTGCTGACGGCGACAAAGACGTCACGCCGGTGGGTTACTTGGCAATGTATATCGTTGTTGTGAAGATGGGGTTGTGGTCGTTGTTGTTATTGGCGATTGCCAATCTGCTGCTGCTTTACCGTCCTTTGGCCCTGCATTCCGTAGCGTTCTACACCACCCCCAGGCGATGTAGCTTAGTTTGAACAGACCAACATGGGTCGGGAGACGTCGATGTTGTTCTCCTTGAACCAACAATTACGCAATCCTGGTTTCTCCGGATGCGAGAATGAAACGTTTTGCCCTTGGTTCAGTTCGTTCCTTTGCAATAGTTTGTCAATCGAGATGTCCTTGAATGGTGGGAAAATCCGATTCATTTTGTGCCACTCCTATCCGGCCCCTTCTCCCGCCTGTTCTGCTCTCGGGTCCCTGTCTCAATCTTCCTTTCGGTCGGTCTCCCTATCCCGCTGTTTACGTTCTTGTCTTGTCGTCGGGGCACGAACTCTGCACCAGCGGAGGATGGAAACAAGACCCCTGGGGCTTGCGGAAGCGTTTATAGCCGTGGGAGCGCGGACGGTAGTCCAGAAGATGTGGTACGACGAGGAGACCGCCTTAGTCGATACGGTGAGGCTTGAAGGGTTCCCCCCTCGACGTTTGCATGCTGCGGTG